ATTAACAAAATTTCATTTTTACTGACGTCCTCTCGTCTTCCTACAGTCATTGCACAAAAAAGCCGGTAGCATAATTCCATAAATATCGTCATTAAATTCTTGCGAGGAGTCCGAAAGAAATTCGATTCTGATATTTAACACATTTATTGTTTTATTGTTTTTCTCCAAACGTTCGTTAAATTATTTAAGTTTATCCATTTTCACTCACTTGAACCTGAAAATTTCTCCCATATTTAACAGATGAGAAGGTTACAACCTTTTCGAAAATATTTACGTTTTCTCGCGCTACCTTTAATGCAATTGTTACACGATTGGAAAGTCATCCCGCCTGCAACTAATGTAACTCCTGTGTGGAAGTACATTGTGTTATGGAGTTTATAAAATGGAGCAGGAATAAGAACAATAAACAAAATTTAGTGATAAGTTATGGAACACTTAGTTATATTGCTGATAAATTCTTAGAGGCATTATTGGGCTTGGAATATAACAGAATTCATGGCCATGAGGAGCAAGGTAACAATTTTACCAACCTTCTAAGGATAGCACACGATTTGTAAAACGCAATAGCTTTCACTCTATTATAATTCTTTGGATTGTTGAAAATCAGCGGCGATTTATATGTTTGCGAAGCAGGATTGAAGAACGATAATTATTTTGTGAAAAAAGTACATTTATATTAAAGTAATTTTTGTATCCGTATAATAATATAAGGAACTGTTCATGATGCTCATGTGTTTTTCCTAGCATTTGAAGTCATGAGGTTAAGCATGGGTGAGTAGGATCTTTGAATTTGTTGGATTTATTTATTAAGTTGCTTAAATAAATTGCGCGTGACTATAGAATAAGTCAAAAGAACATGGTTCTATTGATTTCGTCATTGATTATAATACTTTGAGCACTATCAAATCACGTCCTTATTACGTATTAAAAAATGGGGATGTAACGTATAGTTTGAACACTACTTTGATAAATCAATTCACTAACCGTTTAGTAATGTATTTACGTGCTGAACCGAAACTTCAAATAGTTTATTGTGAAGTTCCATCATAGAAGTAACGGTGAATATGGCGCAGCAAAATAAGCAGCTGACACTGTAGTTTAGAAAAATTACTCTTTCAGTCGAAATCCTCGTTAATGCTTTAAATTTTACATAAAGTATAGTTGTTTTAATATTAAAGCCTCACCTAGTATAAAAATCAATTAGTCATATTGAGAATCTATTTACGCGTCAAATCACGTAATTAATTTTTTATATACTATATGCATCAATCTGATTTAATATATTTAATATAATACAATTTAATACAATTTAAATTTAAATTCAAAAATTTTTTTTGACTAGAACCAGAATTATTAAACAAATAAATTTTATTTTTCTTCTATTTATTTTGCATCTTATGGAATATTATTTTTTTTGTTTATGTTAAAAATTTATAATTTAATACAAAATCAATTTAAAAAAATCAATTTATAAATTATTCATATTATTCATAACTTATTATTAAAAATTCATATTATTTTTAATTTTTAATAAATAGAGAATAAAATTACCTATAACCATTTTTTTTTTAAAAAAAATTATTATTACAAAAGTTATTTATTAACTTAATATTTTTTCTAATATTGCATTTTATATTTTTTATTACAAATAATGATACTTTTACGAAATTTGAGTCTGCCGTTATTTTATGTACTAGTCACAGACCTTGACGTTGACATAGCAGTGAATTATTATTAAATTTGTAATGTTTTAAAAATTAAAATTATAACCGATTAAAACAATTGATCATTGATGATTTCAATAAAAAAAAAAAATTAAAATAAAAAATTAATATGGACATATGGACAAATGCATTACATCATATAAAATAAATTATTGTTTTGTATTTTTTATGTAGCAAAACTTTTCTTTTAATTTAAATTAAACATACCCGTTGAATCAAAAAAATTACTTGGAAATATAAATTGTTAAAATTCTGGTAATCATACTGCAGTACAATTCATATCGTAAATTTGACCATAGTGCGATTCATTCTAACCAATTTTCTTCCAACGAACCCTTCATATCCAAACTTTACACGTAAATGCCGTAGCCCTCAAGACACCAAGAGACTTAATACATGTCAGTGTTTTACTGTGTACCCCTAGACCCCAAACAGACAAGTGACAAATTCAAATGACACTCACCTAAAATAATAGCTCGATACTTCACGTTACTTGTCATTCAAAAATTAATGATACTAAAACAACTCTCGTCCACAATAAAGGAGATCTTTGTTGATAGATCGTTTGAAAATTTTACTTTCTCTACGAAACGATATTATGTAAAATATAATTATTTTGATAAACGCGAAAAAGAATTATTTTGTCAAAACTCAAAATAAATAACCATAACTGTTTACATATACATTTTTATTAAGAAAATCTGTCCATGAAGGGCCAGAAGTGACATCATTATAATTTTTGAAATTTTCAAGGGGTAAAATTTATATGATGCGCGGGAGATTAAAGAAGCGCTTTCGTTTTTTTTTCCATATTTATAATTATATGATCATTTACTTTTTTATCAAAATAAATCATATCCAAATCGGGTTTAACAAACCGGTTTGCAGATTTATGACCGGATTAGCAAAGAATCGGTATTACAGCTAATTTCGAAAGTTGCGGGACATGTCATGTAAATTTTTTATCGGCACTGTCGGATTGTCGGAAATTTCGGTGCCAATCAAATGAATAGAAATTTCTCGGCGCCAATCAAATTACAGTATTAGCGCCAAAAATCGCCATGAATATTTTTTTCTATAAGGACTTTATGTATTTTAAAACTTCTATAGATGGACATAAAACAACCTTTACCATACGTTTTTCACATAGTAAACAAATGTGACAAATTGGACATGCATTTAAACGGAAGTTTAATGAACTATTCATTGTTAAAGTTAAATAACGTGACTAAAAAAATTGAATACGTATTTATTTATATTTGATTGGTGCTAACTGATTTATAAATTTGATTGGCGCCGAGAAATT